AGCATGCCAGGCTTCCGTGTCCTTCACCATTTCCCAGAGTTTGCTCAAAGTCATGTCTATTGAGTTGGTGATGCCATCCAATGGTATACTTTAGAAAAGCTAATTAAAATATCAGAGCTTTTAGATTTTTCATAGGTCTAATTGTTAGGGGAAGCATGCTGATTGAAACTGCCCACCCTGGCCAGGCACCATAGTAACCATTTGCATGAGTTGTTTTATGACAGGAGATCCTTATAAGGAATACGTAACTAATAAGCCACCACCAACTGGAAGAATTCGGGAAAGGTCGAAAGGAGACACCGCGTGTCTGTCCACTTCCCAGAATCCCCCTCGCTAGCATCCATCTTGGCTGAGCGATGCATATGCCAGCAGGAAAGACTCTGAATTAGAATGATTGGCCAAAGACCACTGGGAAACTAATCCCATCACCATAAAACCCAAGACTGTGAGCCATGTGGCAGAGCAGTTCTCCTTGGTTCCCTTACCCTCCTGCTCTCCCCCCGGGTGCCCTTTCCCAATAAAATCTCTTGCTTTATCAGCACATGTGTCTCCTCGGACAGTTCATTTCTGAGTGTTAGACAAGAGCCTGCTCTTAGGCCCTATAGGGGGCCTCCCCCTTCCTACAACATAATGACCAGGTGATCAGTCCCTAAATCAGTAGTTTTCATCAGGCATATCAAAATCACCTCAGGGCCATTTAAAAATTTTATAGAAAACTGTACTCCCTCACCCTCCTCTAAAATGCTGGTATGTACCCCTAGTTTAACAACTAGCATTCCACATGATTTTCACAGACTCTTAAGAGCTATAAATTTGTAGTTTGATATTGTGTCAGGAAGGAAAAAAAATCTTCCTCTTCCCTCTTAGGTTTTTCTGGTGAGTCTAAGAATTAAACTGACATGAGACCAATGAGCAGATACTCAAAACAAATTTCAATGACATGTACACATGACCAAAATGCAGGAAAACTGAGTAGCTTACCATAAATGGCTGAAATACCTCAACTTAAATACCATTTTCAGCTAAAGACTAACTGGATGTGGTGGTAGAGCTTTGAGATTGCAAAGGGGAGGTAGACAGTTCATATGGAGATAGAGATGGCAGAGCGAATGTTCAGTAGATAAATGTTTACTGGACCTGCAGAGACAGTGGGGTGCAGACTGCATGCTGATCTCGTTTCCCCACTACACCTGGCTCATATTCCTTGCAGAGATCTCTGGTAATAGCTCTCTTCTGGGAACAGACCTTCTATCTATTCTTTTAGGTAGTTAGGGTAAAGGTCAAGTTTCTTCCTGTGTCTTTTGGGCTTTGATTGTTTTCAGGTCTAATTAATCTACATTCCAGTGAGACATTTCAAGTGGCAACTTTTGCTCACCTACAATTATATACTTCATAGTTTTTAAGCATTTGATATAGGTAAGGTGTTGATTGTGACTACTTTGTGAAATATACTTTGATGGGAATTGCAGGGGATGCTGAGGTGAAAGCCTATGTTTTGTCCTTCATGGTGTTTATAATTTAGTAATTTGGTTGGCTGACATTCAGTTCCCGATAGTAATATTTTACTCTCTTTGTGTATTGGATGTTGATGCTACCTTCACCATTGTGTAAGGAGTAACTATTGCTCCAGGGAATCCAAATGTTTGACAACAGGGAGCATGTTCAGTAGCTCAGTCTTGTCCGACTCTTTTCAATGCTATGGACTGTAGCCTGCCAGGCTCCTCTGTCCATGGGATTTTCCAGGCAAGAATACTGGGATGGATTGCCAGTTCCTTTTCCAGGAACAGCAGGGCCATATTTTTCAAAGTGGGGTCCCTTGACTTTTTGTGAGAATCCTCTGGGACAGCTTTTGAAGATGATGAATCCGGGCCCACACTGACTCTCTTGAAACAGAATCTGGCATTGACCCAGGAATCTGAATGTTAAATACTCAATGTGATTCTTAAGAAGCTGGCATTTTGAGAAATACTGCCATGGTGAATGGTATGAAATAAAGCATAGTCTCAAAAAATGAGATCAAAGGAGGTCTGCTGGTGTAGGCTCAGCCAGAGTTTCTTTTTTTCAGTTAAGTATAGATACACTTAAAGTTAAATGAAGAAAAATAATAGAAATTCTATCTTTGTATCCTTTATTTCGCCTTTTTGGGGGAGAAGTTGCTGTGCTTTAAGGTATGCTTTCATCTTTAGAAATCCTCATAGATGATTTTTCTGGGAGAGATAAGGCTGATCAGCGTCTTTGTTGTTTGTTTCTTTATGCTTTATAAAATTCTGTTTTCTAAAGAAAACGAAGTGCCTAGCAAATGCTTCCTATATTGACAAATGTCCAGGAAATAAATACAATCCGCCTGCGTCTGCAGTTTCCACGTCTTCAGAATCATCCAGTTTTGACCTGCAGTTTGTTGATTCCATGCATGCTGAGCCTGTGTATACAGAACTCATACTGTATTATGTCGTTTTATATAAAAGACTAGAGAATCTGCAAATTTTTGTATCCATGATGGGTGGGGGAAAAGGAGGTCCCAGAATTACCTTTCAACTACTGAGGGATGACTCTAGTCCATATGACAATTCAGTGTAAGACCTTTTGGTTCTTATTATGAGAAGGTCCTGGGATATATACATAGATATGTATTTACAGGTAAATGCATACACTCACTCTTCTTTGGGTTACAGTTGGTATTTGTACAGTATATTCCACCTTTCTTTTTAATCCAGACTGGAATTATATCCATTCAAACAAATTAGCATTCCCATCTTGATTCATTTGGTAAGAACACATTTTTAAGCCAATATGTGGGCTGACCCTCATGACCTTTTCTTTTTTTTTTTTAGAAAAAAAATTTGAAGTACCTTGAGGTTTTGTGCTGATGGGGATCAAGAATCTGTCCTTATTTCCATTTTTGTTCAGGTCAACACCGTTGACCTTCGTCTGATGATCTGTGTAACACATATGTGTGTGCTAGAGATTAAAAGTAGAGAAGTGAGGAGGGATGCAGGAAGAAGAAAGTGTGGGAGAGACAGTAATTTTAAAATGACAAAATCAGTCAGTCATTAAAATAAAAGGGCCACTTTGCTATACAGCAGAAAATAACACAACATTGTAAAGCAACTATATGACAAAAAAAAAAAGCCAAAAAGAATACTTGTGTGTGTAATATACATTGCTACAGGATAAGCAGAAGGGATATCCTTTCAAATGGATTTTCCATTTCTTTTGGCAAAGATAACACCATGACAAATATATTCTAGGTTTCCAAGGGTCTTTTTCATGGCTAATAAAAATAAGAATGATTTAGGATCTTCTGACCAGAACGTAATAGACCCAGCCCTTTCCTAGTATAAGTATTTTCTCTACTTTTGCATCACTGAGGGTGATCAACTGCCCTGATTTGCTTGAGAGTCTCAGTTTTAGCACCCAAATCTCTAAATCCTAGGCAGAACTAGATAGTCACTCTAACTTCATCCATATTTAGCCTCATTAGACAGATGTTTTCTAATGTGATATTCTATCTCTCTTTGTTTACTCTTGACTGGTTTTTACTTTTATCTTGAAAGTTAGCAAAAACACACAAATCTAAATTGTGACCATTTCAGTTTGGACAAAGATTTCATTGACCCAGAACTTGAGTGCTGGAAGGTTCTGCAGCTTTTGCATACAGCACTTCTTTTTTTCTAGATGAAGCAACTGAAGCTCAGAGAAGGTGGTTGACTTCCTAAGTAAACCCAGTTAGCTACAGATGGATTCAGACCTTGAACCACTGACTGCCAATCCCATGCTTTTCTCAGATTCCTCAAACATGCTTGAAAGGTGCCCTGGCCTCTCAAAGGAGATAATTTGCTTTGAAAAACTGTGCAATATTGTGCCACGAAGAAGCTGATTGACTTAGATTGTGCTCCATTAATTACTCCCTGGAATTGCCTTGCAAGACATGGCAAATTCATTTTGAAAAACTGTGGCAGGGACCTCCTTCCCATGGTGAGGCTGTCTGCTCTGGTAATCACAGACAGTGCATCATCCTCAAAGAGGAAGAGATTAATAAAGATATCTAGTTTTGAGGAAGAGGCCTTTTGATCCTGTTGTTTCTATTAACATTTCCAATTAATATTTTATCTTGAAATAATAAGCAGAAACAGTGTTTGCTGATTACCTTTTGCTCTTCAGAGGATAAGCACATAAATGTTAAACTTCTCTCCCTCTGAAAGACTTGCCACACTATCATAAGCCTATATTTTATTTATAGATTAAGCTCAATATACTGAACCAGCTTCTACATGTTCCATCTGTTCTGTAATATCTCTTCCATCAAATCCGGGAAATAATACCCTAGAAACTGAATCTTGAAATTCAACATGAAAAATCCAAAAGCTATGTCAATATTTTCATTGAGGGATGGCAGCCCCAATGACTTTCTTAAATTAGGGCTGTTCTTCTAGATAGATTACAAAATTAAAAGACCACCTTTCATCCACAGTGAGATGTTGAGCAAATCTTAAGACTCACCAGCAAAGACTCATGTTATTCAATTAGCTGAGAGCAAGGTTCTTAGTTTTCCCCATGTCTAATTTTATTTCCTTGATTAAATGAATCAGTAGAGCATTTTAGTCTAATATGTTCCTATTGTCTCTTTCCTCCACCTAAGATAATCCTGGAAATCAGCAATATTTAATGTTTTAAGATGACTAGGGCATTGAGGAGAAATTTTTTTGCATCAGTGTCTTTTTAGAGGGACAGTTTAAAAACATTGACTGATGGATCCTTAGTTCTATGATATCATTAGCATAAATCAGTAGTAAGTGATTGTAGCTTTCTCAAGATGAATGGACATTTTGAGATTTCTGGAAGAGCATGAGTTGGAGTAGGTCAGTGTGGCCAACTCACCTTTTGAATGAGGTTATCAGTCGTGTTAAATAAAAAAATCTTCCCTGCAGAGAGCATGTGACAGGTACCATTTGAACTGATACGTGTAATACTGATTGCCACGTCTCTCTTCTTTTATCAAGGGGATTATCCAAGATGGGAAAATCATCTTCATGCCAAATGGATATATAACACAGTGTCCAAACCTGAATCGCAGTAAGTAGCAACTTAAAGCATTTCAGAATTATTTAATGTAACTTGTTGATAGTATGAGAGAAGCTGTCAGGAAGGATATGCATGAACTATTTACATTGTTGACTTATGAGGTGGTGGGATTAGTGTGAGATCTTATGTATCCTAAATACTTCTGTCTTTGAATTTTTAAAACATTTACATATTATTTGTAGAATTAAAATTTGAAGATAAGAAAACTTGAGCAATTTTTAGTCTGTATATTGATACAGAAAGTTATGTTTGATATAACTATATAAACACATGTATATAAATGATTTTTAAAACTTCTTGAATTAGATAGGAGTTTACTTTTGCCACTTCTGTGATAATTCACAATTCTTTAGGGCTGATAAAAATGAGCTTAATTTAAATTTAAAAATAATTTACAGTTTAAAACATACTGCCTTTCTTTTTAGTTCATTTTTATTAAAAACAGGGAAAGATCTAGACCTGAAATCCTTGTGAATTCACTCCAATTTTGAAGTCAAACTTAACCAGAAAAGTGAAAACCCCTTCTACATAGCCGAGCAACTATGGTTGAAAAACATATCTTCTTCTGTTAGCACAGTATCAACATTTATTTTATATTTTCTTTATTGAGCTTGCCCAACTTGCAGTGATTTCTTAAGCCTGGTACAAGGAATAATGGATTTACAAGAGCTTTTGGCCAAGATGACTGCAAAAGTAGGTATCTAAAATTCACTTGTGATGTTTCATTTTTTTGCCCATCCTGTCTGGAACTCAGAGTGATTTGCTATAATGGAAACATTTTTAGCTTTGATATCTGCAATATGTTACCATAAAAATGGTTTACTCTTTCTTGAAATAGGACAACCTATAGTAAACATAACCATTTCTGTCTTTGATGCCATTCAGCTGTATTAAAATGTTTACTTGAAAAATGTTTGAAAGAAAGAGGCAATATGTATAATTGTAGCCTCCCTGGGAGTGGCAAAGGAATTTTCCCATTGACCATTAAACTAGTAACACTGAGAGCTGATATATGGTCAGAGTCACTGCTGCTTGTAAGCTAATGCATTCTGGATGCAAGAATAATTGCCAGTAGTCAGAAAGGGCAAAATTGCTGTTGTTAAGAACAGATTACTGTCACAGGAAGGCATTATATCACATTTCTAACCCATGATTCATTTCAAAACTGATCCTGAGTTCAAATAGTCAAGGAGGCAAGTTTGCCTTTAACAACTTCAGTCTTCTACTTCTGTATCTCTCCCTCTTCTCCATCATCCACTTGACAAGCATCTTTTGAGGATTTGCTATTTGCTGGACGCTGTGCTAGACACAGAGAGGCAGTGATGAAGTGATTTCTACCTCCACAGACGTCATATTGAGTGGCAGAGCCAGAAATGTAGACAATGAGGGGCTTTAATAATACATATTAATAAAATTTAGATTGATAATGAAAAGCCCTGAGCCTTGTGAAGAGAGGTGCTGAATAAATAGAAAACATGGCTAGTGCTCTTGTTATGATACCAATCAGTCGTGGACTTGAGTTCTGGCCTAGGGCGAAGAAGGAATTAGGTCGGGCCTAAGAGACATTATACTCTGCAAAAGGAAGACTTTTAATAACAGTGAAAATGATACATTAATCCTATTCCACCTGCAGCTGTGACGGCTCCTGCCATCAGCCATGGTATGAGGAAAAAACTGGTGGGGTAGGTCAGTATTTGGGAGTTAGGGCTGTATTTTGGACTCAAAGATTGTGCTGCTGAAGACAGTGTTTCTGTTTCAAACTAGGTTTTTTTGGCCAAATCTCCTTTTGTCTGCAAAGGAGAGACAGACCACTTTCGTAAAGAGAGAAACTAAATCTGAGAATCGAGAGCTTTTCACTTCAGAGTGTAGTGGAAATGTGAAACGCAGGCAATTATTTGCCTTCCCAGCTTGTGGCATGTAGAAGCTATTATTTCATGTTGTCTGGAGCAGCTTGATCTCAATACTGTTAATTATATTTTAGCTTGCTACCAAATTTTTGGACCAAGAAACATGCCACTCAGCTTCAGGTGACTGTGGTTCCCCATATCCTGGAGTTGATGGTACCCTTTTTGTTCTCATTCTTTCTTGTTGCAGGAATGTCATTTTTGTCTTTTTAGCTATACATTATCTAGCAGCCACATTGAGCTCTGTCCTCAAAACATTATTATGTAAAATGGGCATTTGTGAGGCAGAAGATATTTAATTGTGGGTGATTACAAGCAGAAAATGGTTTAATCTACCTTCTAAACACCCCCGGCACTGTGGAAGATTTATAAGTCTTATTTCTTTCAAACTATGAATAGAATTATAATTAGAAAACTGAGTACTTCAATTTTCACTGCAAAATCTGGAACCCATGATAATCTAGAAGAGGAGCTGGCAAACTTTTCCTGTAAAGGGCCGGTTAGTAAATTTTAGTTTCTGTAGATCAGGAAGCAAAATTGAGAACATGATGTATATATTTATTTCACTTGAATGAAATTGATCAATATAGCATGAAGATACTCAACACTGGTAATCATCAGGGAAATACAAACCAAAACCACACAGTGATACATTAGCTCACACCTGTCAGATTGGCTATCTTCAAAAAGAACACAAGTAACAGATGTTACTGTTTTCTCTATAGTAAAGGGAAACTGTGTAAACTATTATAATAATTTGTTGAATTGTTTTCCAATGAAAACAAATGAATTGTTTTCATTTACAGTAGAAACTTTGTTAACTATATGTGGAAATATAAATTGAGGCAGCCACTGTGAAAGATAGTTTGGAGGTTTCTCAAAAAACTAAAGGTAGAATTACCTTATGACCCAGCAATTCCATCCCTGGGTACATATCCAAAGGAAACCAAAATACTAATTCAAAAAGATACATGCACTCCAGTGTTCATAGCAGTTTTATTTAGAATTGCCAAGCTATGTGAGCAGCCCTAGTGTGCATCAACAGATGAATGGATAAAGAAGATGTGGTATATATACATATTATATTGTAGCTTGTTACCAAATTTTTGGACCAAGAAAGATGCCACTCAGCCTCAGGTGACATGCACACACACAATGGAATACTACTCAGCCATAAAAAGAGTGAAATTGTGCCATTCACAGCAGTGGATTCAGAAGGCATTATACTAAGTGAAATAAATAGGTGAAAGACAAGTTCTGTTTGATATCACTTATATGTGGAATCTAAAAAATGCAACAAACTAGTGAATATGGCAAAAAAGAAGCAGACTCATAGAGAACAAAATTGTGGTTTCTAGTGGGGAGGGGTGGAGGAACAGTATAGGGGTAGTGAATTAAGAGGTACAAACTATTGTACAGTGTATCATGGTAGCTTATAGCAAGGAGCATATAGTCAACATTGCATAATTAAAAATGGAGTATAAACCTTTAAAAATTGTCAATTACTATATTGTACACCTGTAACTTATTACATCTTGTATACCAACCATACTTCAATTAAAAAAATTTAATCACTGAAAAATATAAAAGTCATTCTCAGCTCACAGGCCATACAAAAATGAGTGGTGGGTCAGATTTGGTCCATGGGCTTTAGTTTGTCAACCCCTGATCTGGAATAAGCTGGAAAGATACTCAAACTAGGTAATATTTATTGAACACTTACTATGTGTTAGTTACAATGCTTAAATTTTTAGATTCCCTCTCTTTCATCCTTACAGCAATCCTGAGTCAGGTTTATTAGCCCACTGTCCAGGAGAAGTTGGAGTTCCAAGGTTGTGTAAGTTTTCCCAAGAAAAGTGGATGGCAAAACTGGAACTCAAGCTTAGATTCTGAAAGTTGGATCATGACTGAGAAAGCTTATGGCTGGAGGATAAAAGGATTAGAAAGAGAATCAAAAGATATAAAGGAGGAATGACTGATGGGGAAAGAGAGGAAGATGCTGCCAGTAAGAGGATGGCAAGAATAGTGAGAAGAAGCATGGGCCATAAGAGGAGAGAAAAAGAGGAGTGTGTGTTCAGATGGTATCTGCTGGGAGTGAAACGTGAGCAGAGAGCTTGTAGTAGCTTTTGAAGGAGGAAGATCAGGTAAGAACAAGGCCTCTGATCTCACCCATCTGGTTATAGCCACTGTTGTCCTTAGATATATGTGGCAGCTGTCTGAGTTCTGGGTTCATGTTATGTGTGCTTCTGCCAGGACCACTCAGCGGCAACTTCTATTGCATGATCTCTTAAAGGTTTTTCAGATCATGGGGATGACTCAGAATTAGACTGCAAACCTGGGATCCGCCAGGCGAATCCTCAGCAAAGAATTCCTTAAGACTTCTCAAGAAAGATACTTCCCTCTAGCCAAGACTACAGTCTGAACGGGATGGTCTTCCTTCTGTGCCTGTATAAGTCTTGTTTCTTTTTTGTTCACTCTGAAGCTGAGGGTACAACCTTTTGGGGCCCCACCTTGATGTAGGAGTTTCCTTTAAGACACCTTGTCTTGGGCAGACCCTGTTCTCTGTCTCCCTGGCCTCCTCTCCAGCCGTCAAGCTGGGAGCCCAAAGGCTGCCTGTTTTGGCTGACGTCATGAAGCTTTGGTGCTCACTCGCCTCCCTGGATCCCTGACTCTAAGTTTGTTTTGGCCACTATGGCTTGCTTCCTTTTGTATCAGCCCCTGTGATGATTTTTTTAAAAGCTTTGATTTGTGTATTTTATCCAGCATTTTAGTTGGTTCAAGGAGGAAAGTCTTTCAGGGTACCTAGTCTGCCATCTTGCTGGGAGCAGAGTGAAAGAGATGGCGTCTGGGGCGATAAGCCAGATCAGAAGACAGGGAGGATTCCTGTGCACAAAGGGAATTCTGGGGCACTAAATCCATCTGTATTTGGACTTTGCCTTTGGTTAAATAAGCCAAGATTTAGCTAATAGGATTGGAGGTTTGGTTTGAGTTGCCCAGCAGCTATGATTAAAATAGGCATTAGTCATACAGATCTTGGTGGAGATAGAAATGGGCTTTGGAGTGAGATTCATCTGATGTTGAATCTCATTTTTATCACTTCTTCCAATGTTTGCAGCCTGGAATGAGTCACCGATCTCATTTCCAGCTGCAGTTTCCCCATCTGTAAAATGATGATAGTTATTCTTCATTTTATGAAGATTTCATGAGAGTTGCTGTCAGAGCCCTGGTCTAGAGCCAGGAGGTCTTGGAAAGGAGCAGAAAGTCCTCATACTTGGATCATAGTGGAAGCCATGGAATCCAACCAGAGAGTGAGCCCAGCACACAAGCCAGGCAGGAGTTGGTAGCCAAAATCACATCAAAGCAAACAGGCGCAGACATCACATAAGCTCAGGGGTGCGCCTAGGAGGGCTTGCTGTTTCTTTTCTCCTTTCAAAGTAGGGATGATTGAAAATGTGTGAAAGGACAGATCAGGGAAGCAGCTTGCATGTAGTTTCAGGTAACAGGAGCCAGGGTACAGAAGAGCCCTCTTAAAGAATCCCTGTGTGTCCTAGTCGCTCAGTTGTGTCTGACTCTTTGTGACCCCGTGGACTGTAGCCCACCAGGCTCCTCTGTCCATGGGATTCTCTAGGCAAGAATTCTGGAGTGGGTTGCCATTTCCTTCTCCAGGGGAAGAATCCCTACAGTCTGGCAAAGCCATACCTTTACCAGGGGAAAGGGCAACAAAGTACCTTCCCTGACACCTCCCCTAAGTAATCCACTAGAGACCACTAATCCCCTAACTTATTCTAGAAATTGTCCCAGGTAGTCTTGACACTGTGAGACCCACACACCTGCTGAGCTAGGTACGCAGTGATTGGATCAGGCTGTGTCCTTATCTTGCATCTTCCCTGTGCTGTAATCCCATTCTCCCTTCAAGCTCAGGAAGAAGAGATGCTGAAGATGGGTAATTTCTTGATTACTTCTGTCTAAATCTTTGCCAAATGTACTTATGGAAATCAAGCATCACTTGGGGTGGCATTTCAGCTTGTAACATATTTAATTTAGAGATTTTCATTGTTTCCAGGAGCTCAATAGTGATTTTTCAATTAAGTTTAAAGGTTTAATACAATAGATCTCTTTTTTTACCTTTCATATAGCAAATGCCAAATAAATAATATTTCAAAGGAAAGGAAAAGAAGCGCTTTATTGCATGACTAATGTACCTAGTTTCATTCATTGACCTCTTACTGTGAAAAAAAGCCTCTGCTGCCTGTCTTTGAATGTATAGAGTTAAGAATAAATGATTTGCTCTATGTTTGCTTAGATAAATGCTTGAACAAAGCTAAAACAGAAAAGAGACGCAGATTTGATACTGTATCTATTTTGGATCTGTAGGCATTCCTTGAGAAGACGGCAGGTAGTGTAGAAATAGCTTTTGAAAATGAATTTGTAGAAATTCTGCATGCTAATGCCAGTGACAGAAAATGTAATTTATTTTTTTTGCTTCAGAGCTATTTTTTTCCTTTATTGTTGCTTCAGGATTTAGCAGGGGGAAAAGGAAGGCAAGATTACATATTAAGTGCCTTTGAAAAATTAGCTTTTTGCTTTACTGTATTTCTTTGTTTTTGAAAGTCTGTCTGATGCATTCTTGTTATTACAGAGATTAGGGTTTTTCATTGTTTTCAGAGAAGGCTAAGTATATTAAAAATGAAAAAAGCCCAGAAGGGAAACAAAACCTTCATAGGAATACCTTCCACTGTATTAAAACTGAGACTCTTCCTTGGAATTGAGTTTTGGAGGTGAGCATAGCTCAGCTTCATAGGGTAGTACTGGAAATTGACAATATTGCCTTTAGGCAAGCACCTGGATTTTCAGGAAACTGGGATAGATACAGAATTGCCTTTTGGACTCGTCCTTGAGAAGTCCTCTTCTCAGAGTGATACAGTCCCTAGAGTTGTTCCAGACTTTCAGAGTAAGACGGCTCTCCTGGACTCCTCATGCAGAACCACTTTTAGGAAAGATTCCCTTCTAGTTCAGCTCTTGTTCATTCCAAGGTCATAGGACTATCACTGCCTTATGCAGGAGCTGCTGAGACGATAGAAATGAGGTCAAGATAATGTGTGCTGCATTACCACTCCCTTCTTATTCGTGAAAGTTGCTCAGTCGTGTCCGATTCTTTGCAACCCCCGTGGACTAGACAGTCCGTGGAATTCTCCAGGCCAGAATACTGGAGTGGGTAGCCTTTCCCTCTCCAGGGGATCTTCCCAACCCAGGGACTGAACCCAGGTCTTCTGCATTGCAGGCAGATTCTCTACCAGCTGAGCCACCAGGGAAGCCCCCCTTCTTATTACCTCTTAGCAATATATGGTTTTGGTCACTTGGTGTCACCAGACTTTTGGAAGTCTATGTTATCTGTGTTTTGTAAAGAATTCCCAAATAAGTTAATTATCGTCATTTCTGGAAGCTCCATGACTAGGCTGAAGATTTAAATGTGACCTGAATTTTTGGAAGATTTTGTACAGTAGAGGTGTCCTAGGAAGCTAATATTTCAGGAATAGCTCAGTTTTTTCAGCTTTGATTATACTGCATGTGGTTTGTTTAGGATCCTTTTTCATCTTTGTCCTTCCTCTTGGTACTACCCGTGACAGGCACACAAGGAGCAATTTTTCTTGAGAAATTTTAGCAAGTGTAGAGGAAGAGGATTGAATAAGTGATAAAAACTAAGGTTGGAATTACACGTGGATTCTATTTCCAGAAAATAGTGCTGTTATAAGTGAGAGGAGCATGTGTGGACAGGAACCACTGAAAATATAGAAAGAGGGTAGAAGTTGCCAATAGCCAGGTTCAACTATTGTAACTAAAATATCACCCTGAAATAGTCTTAGTTTGGATCAAGAATTGATTTGATCTCCTATATGGAGAAAATACTCAAGACAGGGCTGTATAATATAAATATGATTGAGAAGGAAAAGAAACGGATACATTTTTAGAAAGTGGTATTTGTTCTTGGTGATCTCTGTATAAGAAGAACAATGAGGTTGCTATGGAGCTGAGTTACACCTTAGTGTAATAAGGATGTGACAACAGAGAGATCATACCAGATTCCAGGCTTTTTGTGCCATATATATATATTTTTTTGGTGCCGTATTTTTGAAGGCAACCTAGAGTCACATACATGGAAAATGGCCAGGAGAGATGTTTGGAACCACATCACAAGGAGTTAAGGGGATTCTGGTGGGACCAAATGTGGTTAGGGGTAGGCATGGGGACATTGGAGCAGGCATTGAGGAAACCTCAGATGTTTGCAGAGAGATTAGACTTGCTTAGAACTGGCTATAAGGCAAAACTAGATCTAGTAGGAAAAAGGGAGAGGAACTACACAGCTCAAGCCAGAAAGACATTTCAGACATCTTGAGCTCTCCAAGAGAAGTAGCCTCCTTTGGGAGGTAATGAATGTTTTATCACTGTTAGTTGTGCAAAGAGAGGCTGGATGATCCCTTGAAGGGATTACTTGTGACGTCATTCAAACTTCATAAATCCTTTCAAATCAGAGATGTTAAATGGGAGCAGTTGAGTGACCCAGAAAAAGAAAAAGGTTATTTTTGAAAATCCTCATCTCACCTGGGGATTTGTTTGCCTCTCTCGACCTTGTCTGAATGCCAAAGTGATTCCTGGGGCATTCTATGTGGAGAATCCTGAACTGGGGAGAAATCAGATCTGCCTCTGACTCACCCTTTTTCTGGCTCCAGCTCCCCAGCATTTTTCATAAAAGAAGAAGCAGTGATGTCCCAGCTTGTAAACCATGACACTTAGTTAGTGTGTGAAGAATAGGGACGGGATAGTAGGAGATAAATGTAAGTGCTTCAGAGTTGCTGATTAGATCACCTGTAAACACTGAAATGAGTCCTTGAACACATTCATTACAAGTGGTTTCTTGTGGGCTTGAGCTGAAAGCGCATGTTGATAAACACCCATGAGGTCCCTGAGATAGTTTAATGTCTCATTTGGTGCTCATTAGACCACGGGAGCCCAATATGTCTTCAATTTAGAATGATTCCACCTTGTGTGAAATTAAAAAAAAGGAATAAAAAATCCTTCAAAACCCAAAAAACAGATCTGGCTGAGAATCAGTGAACTCTTTTGAGCATTTCCCCCTGCCTCCTGCTTGGATGTATTTTTTCTTGTTGCAATTAGCTTTGTTAGGACAGTGCAGTTGAATTACAGAAATTACACATAGCAACTCTTGCTTGCAGCTGAACTATGCAGAAACAAGACTTAGTCAATTGGAAAACTGTCATTGTGAGAAGACCTGTCAAGTGAGTGGACTGCTCTATAGAGACCAAGACTCCTGGGTCGACGGGGATCATTGCAGAAACTGCACATGCAAAGTAAGCCTCTTTGTATGTAAATAGACTAAAAGTTTGAATAGGGTGGTTCTGCTGATTTTTGTGTAAGCTGTTTCTTTATAAAGCCAACTCTACAATGTATTATCTTTTTACTAAGTGCCTTTTTACTAAAAGGAGCAGTTGTGAAGGTAAGTTGTAGTGTCATTATAACCACAAGTACTTGTCAAAGGAAAGCAAACACACTCTAATAACATGATCTAATATTATCAAGAATCTTACTGTTTGGAGATCAGAGTATCAGAGGGGGAAGGAATGCCTTTGGTTCTTAAACTACCTAGTGGGTGACTTTAACTCAGATGACCAGTATTATCTACTACTGTGGGCAAGAATCCCTTAGAAGAAATGGAGTAGCCACCACAGTCAACAAAAGATCCAAAAATGCAGTACTTGGATTCAATCTCAAAAACGAGAGAATGATCTCTGTTCATTTCCAAGGCAAACCATTTAGTATCACAGTAAGCCTAATCTATGCCCTGACCAGTAATGCTAAAGAAGCTGAAGTTGAACGCTATGAAGACCAAAAAGACCTTCTAGAACTAACACCCAAAAAAGATTTCCTTTTCATTACAGGGGACTGGAATGCAAAAGTAGCAAGTCAAGAAATACCTGGAGTAACAGGAAAATTTGGCCTTGGAGTACAGGATGAAGCAGGTCAAAGGCTAATAGAGTATTGCCAAGAGAATGCACTGGTCATAGCAAACACCCTCTTCCAACAACACAAGAGAAGACTGTACATGTGGACATCACCAGATGGTCAACACCGAAATCAGATTATATTCTTTGCAGCTAAAGATGGAAAAGCTCTATACAAGTCAGCAAAAATGAGACTGGGAGCTGACTGTGGCTCAGATCATGAACTCCTTATTGCCAAATTCAGACTTAAATTGAAGAAAGTAGGCAAAACCTCTAGATCATTCAGGTGTGGCCTAAATGAAATCCCTTACAATTATACAGTGGAAGTGACTAATAGATTCAAGGGATTAGATCTCATAGATAGAGTGCCTGAACTATGGACGGAGGTTTGGGACATTGTACAGGAGACAGGGATCAAGACCATCCCCAAGAAAAAGAAATGCAAAAAAGCAAAATGGTTGTCTGAGGAGGCCTTACAAATAGCTGTGAAAAGAAGAGAAGC